TCTCTAACAAAACCAACAAATTGGTAAGACTGCCACAGGATATATCAAGAGAAAAAAATTATTTGTCAATTTTGGGAAGGAGACATAATATCACGCAGATTCTACAGACATCATAAGAGACTATTATCAAAAGGGAATATCACACACAATTTCATGCCATGAGTGTATTACTTTAAACACACCAACTTCAAACTATGAAAATACAAATGCAAAACTCCAGAAGAAATACATAAGCTGACCAGCTCCAGATCTAGTAAAGAAACTAAATAATAAGCCTTTTACTAAAAGCCTTCACACACACACACACACACACACACACACACACACACACACGTGTGTACTTCCAAACCTCCTGGATAGCTTTAGCGGTGAGTTATACAAATGTAACAAGACCTTTAAACACGTTCATCCGAAAAGCTGAAGAGGAGAGCAGGCCCCAACTTCTCCTATGAATCCACTGATTCCTCTACCAGACAAAGATAGATAAGAAAGAAAACAAAATAAAAATGATGGTGTGTGGTAGCCAAGAGAAATGTGTCCTAAGGAACACAAGGTTGGGTTAACATTTCAAATCATTCCCTTATGAACTGTTATTTAAAGTCATACTAATAGATTCCTTTGATGCATTTGACAACATACATCATTTGTTATGAAAACTCCGTAAAGTAGGAAAAAAGGAATTTCTTCAAACTGATAAAGGCCATCAGTGGAAAGTGGCAGCTAACCCATGCCTGATAGTACAAGATTGAATACTTCCCCAACATCAAAAAGTAAGAAAATGCCTGTTTTCTCTGATTTTCTTCAACACTTACGGAGAAAAAAAAAAGAACAGGGTAAGATGGATGTATTTCCATTCATATATAATGCTTACAGAAGTTGTGTGTATAACTGTCTCAAAACATCAGCAAAAGAATTAATAAACAATTAGGATGTAGCCGTACAGTATCTACAGCAATGACAGGTATGTGGATTACTGCAGCAGTATAGATGAATTTCAAGACAATTATGCTGAAAACAGCCTGGCCATAATGCTGTATTGTTTGATTGCTATAAAATTCTAGAAAATATAAACACCTCTGTCGTGCTAGATGATTGGTGGCATCTGGGGACTGAAGGGAGTTGAAGGAACTCTTGAAAGTGCTGTTGTGATCTTGATTGTGGCTCTGGTGCCCTGTGGTACATGCATTGTTAAAACATACCAACTTAATCCCAGCACTAGGGGCAGCTGAGACCATTGGACTGTTCACAAGTTAGAGTCTAGCCTGGTCTAAATAATGAGTTCCAGACCAGCCGAGACTACATACTGAGACTTTGTCTCCAATGATAGGTGTGTGTATATGTGTGTATGTGTGTGTTCTAGACTCTACAGTGAATTTATTCTGCTGGTTTGGATTAACAACAGAAACCTGACTAGAGGAGCATGGAGGGCAGGGTCTGGAGTTTGGAGGAAAACACTATTATAAAGTATGGACTCCCTATTCTGTAAGCCTACAACTCTCTGCCTGCCCTGCTGAGTTGTACTGCTGGCTATGCCAGAGCTCTTTATGAGGTACCACCCTTGCCCATTCTCCACCATGGCCCTGGAGCTGACTCTAGCTTCTCCCTAATCCATCCCCTCTCTCAGCTTCCTCGTGGCATATATCTGCATGAGATTCTAATGGCCCTGGCTGTATCTCCTCCTGTACCTTCCAGGTGGTCCCTACTGTACTGCTCACTCTTACCTCCAGCCCTCCCCAGCTTCCTCTGTGGCACCTGCAGGCAGGCTCCCTTTCTGAGTTAGACTGAGGCATCTCTGACCACATCCTGACCTTGTCTCACCTCATCCTCTCCCCAACCCCATGACACCACCTGATTGCACTGGATACAGGTCTTGTCCTAGTCATTGGACCCTCAAACTTCTGCCTTCTCTTTGCATCTTGTCCCAGCACAGAGGAATTGATCTTAGCTGGGGATGGTGGCTATAGCTCCCCTACTCTGCTCCCAACCTCTTCCCTTCTCCCCCCTTTTTTTATTTAAATTTTTTTCGTTTTACATACCAACCACTGTTTCTCCTCATTCCCCTTCTCCTGTTACCCACCACCTCCCCCATCCCACCCACCCCCCCATTCACTCCTCATAGGGGGTAAGGCCTCCCTTGGGTAGTCAACACCAGCTGGCATACCAAATTGGGGCAGGACTAAGCCCCTCCTCCCTGCATCAAAGCTGAGTAAGGCATCCCACCATAGGGAATGGGCTCTAAAATGCCAGTTCATGGACCCAGGATAGGTCCAGGTCCCAAAGCCAGGCCAAACTAGACCCTCCCTTTTTTTTTTTAATTGAAATTTTTATTGAAAACTGATTTTTAGATTTATACTGGAATGCAAAGCACCTATGATAGACAAAATAGTTTTTAAAATAAGAAAGAACAAAGCTGGAGGACATACATTATGTGATATTAAGACTTCTTACATAGATACAGTGAGTGAGGACAGATAACTACATCAGTGGAGGCAATAGAGTCCAGAAACCAGCCCATGCAGATAGTCAATTGATTTCCAACAGTGTTAATGGGGCAATTTGGAAGAAGAAGGTCACCTCACTAAGCCTCGGATCTCCCTGGGAAAGGGAAACAGAAGTGATTTCATGGATGTACTAGGCCTCATCCCTTCTTAACCAGTAGCTAATGCAGCCCTGTTCCCCCTCACGACTGTTGGCTCTGGGCAGCTTTCTGCAGGGTTTCTGGAGCCCCGCACAAGCGGATCTGCCGTGGGTATCTTACATATGCTTTTGCTTCTGCTAGGGATGGAAGGACAGAAACAGAGCAGGGGCTTTGAGAGCTGTAGGTGTCAGACAGACTGGAGAAGCCCTTCTAAGGAGCCACAGTATGGCCATCGCACAGCTTCATAATTGGTAGCTGTTAGTAGGGCTGCCACCTACATCTCCTTGTTCCCAACCTTCACCAAGGCTGCTCAGAGAGGCCAGCCCCAAAATGTGAAGGCACCAGAGGTCAGAGGGTGCTGAAAGAGCTGGGAAGGTGTTCCTGGGCCCACATGAAGACAGAAGAAGTTGAGCCTTACATGCAAGTGGTCAGAAGGACCTGTGCTCTGAGTAGGGCTTGCTAAGCTATCTGCTTGTGAGCATTTGACCCAAAGGCACTAATTACTGCCAGCTGAATGTCCCTTTTGTCTGTATCTCTGATTGAATGTCACTGTACTGAAAGTATCTGACTCCAAAGCTGGTCTGTCTGCCTCATCTGTTGTGCCTTGTCCCTGCAGGGTCATCGTTCACACATTTTTCTCCATTGCTCTGTCACAGGTGGAAGCAGAGACGTGCCACCCCCTTCATCCACACATGCCACAGGTGTTAGGGGAGTTGTGGGGCTGACAGTGCTGCCAATAGTACCCCCACCAAGTCCATGTCTGTTGCTGTGGGAAGAGGCCACTGGCAAATGGCTTCAGGCGCTACAGACAGTGACTTCCCCCCTCCTGGGAGGTCAGGACAAGGGGATGGCAGGTCCATTGAGGATGAAGTCCAATGCTTTTAGGCCAGAAGCACCACAGTGAGAGTGCAGAATTGTTCCAGGTCTGGACTGGACACTAAGCCCTTGGTAGACACTATACTCCTTGGGGCCTCGTCACCTCCCAAAGCTACCACCTGGGACTGAGATGTTTAGCTTACGAACAGGAGGAAATATGCTCTTCCAGACATAGTGTGCCCATTGTTCTTGAGTTATAGTAGGATTGTTGGGAAGATCCAGCTAAACGGAGACCCATTGAGGGAGTAGGGCCCCCTGCATGCAGGCTAAGGGTAGTAGAAGGGAACTAGAGTGGAGGCTTGAAGGGTTATAGACAGCAGATGGACTGGAAAAGCCCAAGCCCTTGTGAGGGACAACTGAGAAAATACACAGAGGACAGCCCAAGGGAGGTACTTCAGAATTAGTAGATATTTGCAGGGAATCCACCTACACCTTGGTCCAAAGCTTCATCAACAAGGCTGCAAAGGGAAAGGATCCCCTGAATGTCCAGGTGACTGAGGCAGAGGCGAGCTTACAGGGCTGCAGGGGATGGGTTACTGGTACTCATGAAGAAAAAAGAAATTGGAGCTATATATGCAAGTGGACAGAGGGCCTGTGAATTCAACTCGGCAGGCCTGGCTAAAATAAAACTGTATATGACTTGACTTGAAGCACAACTCACCTCGTCTATATGTGAGAGGCAAAACTCCTGATGGTGGTGAACTGATTTGAAGTTCCTTGAACTGATATGCAGATGAGCTAAGACTTGTAGAGTCCACATGATACTCAACACACAGTGGATACACTGGACATAAGCCAGGGACTGGCAACCCAGTGGGAGGAAATCTGTTTGTGTCTTTTGAGTATTTGCTTTGGTTGATAAACTGAAAAGGTAGAGCCTGATGCTGAATTCCCAGTCCAGTCTGTCCAAACTGTGCCCCAGTTTGATACTCCAGGAGAGTGACAATGGTTATTCATAGAAAATCCATTTCTGTAAAACATGTTGAAAAGCACTAGAGTCAGTCCCCTAGATCTGGATTTCCTGTTGTTGGGCTGTCGGGAGAGAATTGAACCAGCAGAAGCTGTGTGACCTTTCCTGCTAAATAGAGGATAAACTTGCATGCTCCTTTATCCACACCACAAACTCTGCTCATGCCCTTCATATATGTGGCAGTGAGTAAGCCTACTAGGGTTTCTGACTCCAGGCGACCCTCCAGCAGAACTGTAGGTGGAGGAACACAGGAGGAATGAGTATAGTTTTAGGGGAGAGACCTACAAACAAATATCTACAGACTCCACAATGCTTTTTATCTCCCATATAATCACAAGTCATTGCAAAGTTTTAAGTGTATTTGTATTTTGGAAAGGCTCTCTGGAACGGTAAGTAGCATGGTCAGTGGTCTAGATTTCAATGCTCCAACACCCTTTACAAGGATGAGCATGCATCTCTCTCTTCTGTACACTTTGTTGCCCACAGAGACAGTAACTCTACCTGTCTTCACTGCAGGTTCCCTTGCTCGTATGAAGTCCTACCACTGCAGAAACCACCTGTACAGCTCCCAGGATCATCACTAAAGGAATCCAAGTGACAGGAAATGAAACCAACAAGAAGTGGTACTTTCCAGTCTCCAGGCCAACGTGCCCACAGTGGATTTTCGGTGTTCCTGCATAATAGTCAAAGGAGAGATGGTGCTTTGCTGTGTGGCTTGTGTGCCAAGGACATGTGATCTGCCTCTGAATGCTCACAATTGCCAATAAACTGCTCTTGTTGGCAGAGTAATGGGAACACACAGGCTGGAGCCCAACACTCACACTTGATTATAGCCATGGGCACAAAGAATCACGCCTTACATTGATTTTTGGATCTTTGAGACTTTGACCATATACACTCGGTTAAAAGCCTTTGTTTAAGATCTTTTGAATTCTAGGTGGACAAAAGCATAAATCAACAGAACCAGTCAGAATCCATCACATGCTACATGATGCTCTGTTTCTGGAGTAAGAAGGGTGATGGAGGAAGGCTGCTACAAGATGACTTTTGCAGGATAGTAAAGCATCAGATTCCTATTCCTCACACAGTGAAGCCTCACACCTCACAGATGATCTTGGACTGTGATCTGACCAACTAAGCTTTTAGAATTCAACTAGTGTTGCCCAGAATAGGAGCCTTACTGGACCATGTGAGCAGGCCATTCCTGGCTCCTTACAAGGTGATAGGAAGCAAAGATCAGAACACTGGAAGGGCTGTCCCTTTTTTTATGGCTTCTGTCCCACTTGTATAGCTGTCCCCAGTGCCCCCGCAGGCTATGAAGTGCAGCAGGCCACTCTGAAGGAGCCTTGCATGGAGCCTGAGACTTCACCAATAGCCTTCTGAAATCCTGCAGAGGGCCAAGGAGCAAGGTGTTGGGTACTTACGTGTCACAGAGGGCAGTCCAAATTGTGCTGCATATTCCGTGACTTACAGTTTATCCTGACACACTTCAGCATGGTCCAGCAGCTGCTCTGCTATTATATGACAGTCTTATAGCACATGGTGGGTAGACACCATCTTTAAAGAATTTAAACTCAGCAGGGAGTTTTGTGGGTTGTTTTTTTTTTTCATGTGTCTCTAAAACCTTTTCTTATATGGAGAAAACCAAGAGAGCAGTAGAAGTCAGAAAAAGTTCATGATACAAAATCTCTGCCTTAGTGAAAAAAAAAATACATGAAATCATTTTGCTGTTTCACCCTGTTTCAAATCTAGGCATCAGATAGAATGGGAACTTGGTACTGTGTGATTACCATTGCTAAACTTTCTCAGTGAAGCGAGAGCTACCAGCCAATTGCTCTTAGTCACAGCTGTCTGCTCTTTCTCTTAGTGCCACAAATAAATGCAACTCCAATCCTGTAACTGTCGTGTGGATTTCATGCTACAGTGTATGTCCTTCCTGCAAAATGGAGGGATTAATTTATTCTGCCAACAGATATTTCGGCTGCTGTGTTAATCAGCAGTGTTCCATCACTGTGACCAAACACCTGAGGGAAACAGTTTAAAAGGCTATATTTTGGCTCATGGTTTAAGAGACTATGGCCGTGTTGCTACCCCTGTGGTAACACAACACATCATGACCGAAGTGTCATGCCCAGAGAGGCCACCACTGCTCACCTTATAGTGGCATAATACAAAAAAGAGAAGAAGGGACTGGGCTCTTGATATCTCGTTCAGTTGTGTAACATTTCCTTAACTTCCTCTGGGCCTCAGCTCCTGAAGGTTCCCTCCCAATAGTTCCCTCCACAGGCTGGAGTCCAACTCGTTAATGCATAGGCCTTTGGGAGCCTTTAAAACTCAAAACTCCAGCCGAATCTTCCTGTATTCCTCTGAGTCTCAGCAAACACGGTAGACACGATCATCATCACCATGTAGGTTAGACTGTAGAAGAGAGAAAAGAAATTACCAGGAAAAGGGGGCAACAGACTCAAACAGCAGGTAATGGAGACAGGCCTTGGTTTGGGTAAATTACTGAAGGAAAAGACATAAACAAGGCGGAGAGAGGAGCAAGTGCAGGGGCCCTAAGGACACAGCCTAGGGGAGAGGAGTGAGAAAGACTGTCGAAGAAGAGGGAAGAACAGATGGAAATGTCCGTCTCTCAGGCCTGTAACCCCCAACCCTTCAGGTGTTTGTGAACTGCCTGGAGCCCTTTTCAGTGAAGCTGTGATCCCCCAATCCAACCTGAGGGGTCCAGAGATGGTCCTCAGGGAGCACAGGGACGCCCTGCACTGGTTAATTTTGCTCATGTGGATCAGTAGGATGCTATATGTGCTTGTGTTCTTCCCCCAAAGTACATAAACATTCAGGTTTTAAGGTGTGGGATATAGAATAATCACAGCCTCCCGGTTCATGGTGTGGTCTCTGCTAAGTATTGCCCCAGTTACTCTTGATTCATCTTCTTGGGAAACCCAAATACCAAAGCATCAACTTCCAGATGAGCAAACGGGAGGCTAAGAAGACTAGATGGGTCCATCATGTAGCTTACATTCTTGCAGCACCCTTCTGTGGCTCCTGTTACCTGGAGTTAAGGCAGAATTCTCTCCTTAGCCTACCAAACTCATAGGCCCTATCTCTCCTCTCTCCTCCCTCCTCCACATCTAAACAGCCCTTCCACTGTTTCCTTTGTCCACATCCAACCACCCGTTTACTGAGAGTACCCTGAGAGAGTATGTATTTTCTATATTCTTGGAGTATTTCCCCTGCCTGCTATGCCCAGAATCCTCCACTACCCATACCTTTCAAGTGGAATCTTCAGCTTTGTCCTCGACAGCTCTATCCAGCATGCTCACACCTCCTTGCTCCCACCTTGTCTCATCTCCGCCTTTATTAGCTGTGCTTCCCACACCAAGCTCCTCATCTCTCACCTTCCTGGCTGCAAAGATGAGCCTGGAGGCGAGTAGCAGGAAGGGCTTAGTTCCTTCAGGGAAACCTCAAGAGCCCTAACTCAGGTCATCAGCCTGGCAGGAAGCCTGTAAAGACATCTATCCACTCCCTTCTAGTCATATTTCATAACACAGAGGCACAGAGAAAAGGTGAGCAATCTCAAACAGGAAGTAAATGGTTCAGCTCCAGTCATTGCCCAGCCAATTACGAAAAGCATTCCCAAAATATCCCAATGTAGTTCATAAAATCCATGGCATCTATTACCAGATTCTGGCCCACACAGTGCAGTAAAGGTTCAGTGAATGCCTCAGTCTCCTAGGAAAGCACAGATTAGTGGAGATGACCAGAGCTAAGGCTCACATCTTGCCTGAGATTTGTCTGTTTTGCTCCCTGCCTCTGTGTGGCACATGATGGCCAGAAAGGAACCTGTAAGATGTCCTTTCAGGCACCCCTGCAGGGCTAGTAGCCTGAAAAAAACACTGGCAACTCTTCCCTGATGGATCTAGCTGCTAAAACCTGCTGATAGTTCTCAAGAAGGAAGTTGTTTGTGACTGAATTTAGAAGGCAGGCCCTTTACAGCTTGCCTAACCCATTCAGCTTTCAAAGCTGCCTCTTCAGTGATGGATCCCAGAAGCCCCGCTATGAGCATCACTGCTACACAAATAGTGTCCCTTTCTATGCCTCTGGAAAGCCCTTCAGCTGTGCTCCTGATCTGGAAGACTGCTGGCTTGTGTGTCCTGCCAGCTCGCCTCACTTGACCATGACCCCACTTTGTTGTGTGTGTGTCTGGGCCTTGTGCCTGCACCTCCTGAGTGGCTCACTTCAGTAGTTTCCAAGTCAGAAAGACAAGGAAACATTGGCTAATCACTCAATTCTTCTGTGCGTTTCTCCTTCCAGGGCTGTGGGTATTTGTCCCACTGCTGCTTCCCCATGGCTCCCCTTACTGCCTCCACATTGCACCAACTTCCTGAAGGTCCAGCTTCTACCCGCTGTGCCTTCCTTATACCTCCAGACCTATATGCAGCCCAGCATTCTGGCCACTGGGCTCAATGGAAGCTCCATAGTGCCTGCTGATCAGGCTACCTCCAATGGGTAGCAACTATGCTATATGTTGTCCATGTTAACTTCTGGGACACATACCTATTGGTTTGGAATCTAAAATATTTAGACAAGAGTATGACATTATTCCTCCATCACAGAAGCCCCAACAAATAGCAGAGTCACTTCACAAATTAGTAGGATTGATGGCTCCATTGTCCTTTTTCATCCCATGTACATGTCAGAAGGGGGAAGAAAGCAAGTGTTTTCTGTCCCAGCCTATGCCTGGCTGCAGCCACATCCCCCATTCTGAGTAGAAGAGCAACTAATCTCAATGCACAGTAGCACACACTAGCAGACTGGCCTGAGTGCAGTTCCAGAATCTGCCATGATGTCACCTTCCTCTTCAATAGGAGACTGAATGGCCAAGACATTGGTCCAGAGGACATCTCTCCTCTGCTCAAAGCATCCTGGCTCCTCAAAGGGCTTGGACATTTTCCAGGACCAGAAGCCATCAGAACTGCAAGTTGAGCCGGGTGGTAGTGGCGCACGCCTTTAATCCCAGCACTCGGGAGGCAGAAGCAGGAGGATCTCTTTGAATTCGAGACCAGCCTGGTCTACAGAGCGAGATCCAGGACAGGCTCCAAAGCTACACAGAGAAACCCTGTCCTGAAAAACAAAACAAAACAAACAACAAAAAAAGTGTAAGTTGAGACCCACAGGGCTAACTGAGAGTACTCTTTCAGGGATACCCATGCTGGACACAAATATGTTTATTATTGGACACACAGGAGTCAGGTACCAACTGATCCCGTCATTTCCTCTAGTACTCCATTAGAGTCATACATTTTTCCTGATAAATTCTTTTTTGTTATAGCAGAGAACTGCACTGTCAGTGAAAGGAGGATTGGTCCATCTACCAGGAAGAAGAAGAGGGCCAGAAGGCCAAGGAAGGGTAATTCCAGAGACCCAGGGAGGCTGAAGGCTAGCATGACAGAGGTTCCTGGGGCAGGGAGGGAAGAACAAACAGCAGGTGGAGAAAACAGGTAGCCCAAATCACCACTGTGCCGTGCCTCTGTCCAGCTCTGCCTTGTCTCAAGGCTCTGTTCTCAGAATCTACCCCACAACACAGGGGTACAGACAGACGTATGTGGCACACCCATGCCCTCCTTCCTCCTCCCCCCTTTCTCCCTTTTTTTCTTCCCTCTCCTCTTCCCTTCCTCTTCTCCATCATACCCCATCCCTCATTCCTTCCTTCCATCCATCCTTCCCTCCCTTCTCTCCTTCCTCGGTGCCTTCCTTTCCTTGCCCTTCTCTCTTTCTTCCCACCTAATACTACAAGAGCTTCTCTCAGTCGGAATCCCCGATGGGTGCTGGAGACAATTACAAATTAGTGTCTCTGCCTTCCAGTAAGCCTGCTGGCAAGTAGCCACATGGAAATGCCAATCAAGAGTGTAACAAGTATCCTGGGGGAGAAAAGATGTGGGGTAAAGATTGGAGGTTCTTCCTGGTGGGTGGCCGGGGTGGAAGCCCCTCAACTGAGCATCAAGGTAGAAGCTTCTTGGCAGGTGGATGGAGCAGGCCATAGCCAGAGGGCTTGGGGAAGCCAAGGCTGCTACGGGAGACTCAGACTAGAGGTTCTGCACCAGGGCTCTGTTCCACTGCAGAGACATTCCTAGGGCTGAGGCTGCTGCCACCCACTCCTGTGTTCCACTAGAAATACAAATGTGTTCAAAGCGGAAAGATCAAGAAGCGATTAACTATGCTGGCACCTGTTCATGAGTGGTTTGGCTGTGTTCCCAACTGGGGTGTGCGCCGAGTGAGTGCAGGTGGCAGCAGCTTGCCTCACACTGCCTGGCATACTCCTCTGGGGAAACCATGCCCTATGGTTTCTGGACTTGCATCTCAGACCCTTGCTCTAGATGCAGAGGCTGGAAACTCATGAGGGAGAAAGAAATGGACTGTCAATCCAGGTGGGACCACACATTGCTCTCCACCTCCTCTCTGAGCCCAGCCTCACCAGGTCTCTGAGAGCAGCAGGGCATGAGACCACTCTCATACCCTGACTCTGTAACCAGAGTGGGACTGGCCCTGCCCAACAGGCAAGGTAAAGGACTTGCTCAAGGCTGAGCTCTGGCAGCTGTCCCTCCACTCGGCTGTGGCCTTTCAGATTTCCTGCTGCTCTTCAGGTTCTGAGCCCTCTAAAGCTTAAGCAGCTTTGATTTCTCTGCAAATACCTTGTGGGTTCATTCTACCCTGCTTTATCAGAATGCCTATTGATCCTCCAAAACCCAGCCACCTCCCAAGGAAAGCCTCTTATAACCACTTAGTCCCCTGTGGAATGTCGCGCTTCTTGTTACTATGGCCATTTCTCAATGGAGTCTATTGGCGTTTGCGACCCGGAACTCTGTAGGCCTCATTCATGTGAGAGTGTCAAGCCT